AACACAGAACCCAGCAGCTCCCACTGGCTGACAGTCTGGGTTCAGACACGCGATCTGAAGAGGGAGAAAGTGGGGGCACGTTAAAACATACCCCCCCCACAAAAACACACACACACACACACAGGATTCTACGCGGAAATCTTTAATCCCAGCATGACAACCTTAACCCCTAACCAGCACTAACCTTAACCATAAGTAACCAAACAAAATTACATTTTGCATTTTTATTATTTTGATTGCATTCACAGATCTTTGTGGAGACCTGAAAAAATGGTCCCCATAATGTCAAAGTAACAGGTTTTTATTACATTGAGTCTCCACAATGTAATATACATATAATCCACACACACACACACACACACACACACACACCAATGTTATAGTTCTGTTCTTTTTTTTAAATTTTATTTTCACATTATTTTCAATTTTCATTTGAAATCCTATTTATTTCAATTTGGTTTTATTGATTTTTATTGTATAAATATATTTCTATTTAGTCTTTGCATAGTTTTATTCCAGTTTAAGATTTTGTAATTTTATTTCTAGGGATAGACAGAAAGTTATAGGACTTAGCTATCTATTACAAAATATCGCTATGCAGTGACGTTGGCCATTTCTGAGGTTCAAGTACATTGCACAAAAGAGGCCCAGAACATGGCGCCATCTAAAGGCAATAAAATAAATGACATTTCCTTGAATAATTTCCACAAAGGAGGAAAGATAAATAATTTCTTCAGCTAAATAGTATTAGAAAACAGTAACGGGAAGTATTGGGCATTTTATGTTATTTCAATTATTTTCAGAAGCAATTTTCATACTTTTTATTAAGTTGTAGTTTTTTATTTTTTATCTTATTTCAGTTCACAACAGACTGAACTCACTGTATACAGTCAGCTGATATGTTGTAGGATTATTCACTCCATCACTGTTATCCACTTTATACTGGCCAGAGTCCTGGATCTGCAGATCGGTGATGGTGAAGAGTCCCGTCTTACTGTCCCACCACAGTCTGCCTCTGAATTTCTCCATTAGGTTTGTTATACTGCTTCCTGGTACCACTATGGCCATATTGCCGATATTACCATATGACAGGGTACCAGTAGAAAAAACTGGGGCAGTTAAAGTGAAAGCCCCTCCCACAATGCCTTGCACCTGCTGTACCTCAGCATGGGTGAATAATGTGCAGAGCTCTGAAAAAGATTGAGAATGATGGGAAATTAAAAATCCATATCAGAACCAGGAACAATTTACAAGTGATCTCAGAGGGCTAACATCCTACAATGAAGAATTTCACCAGTGTTTTTGTCAGGATACACACCTGAACACTCCTGTACAATGGCCAGGGTCCCCACCAGAGTGTCTCTCTAAGTGTGTGGTAACATGCCCATCATTAGAGCTCATCCATGCTATTGGCTCAGGCAGAGGAGGGGAGGGACTTTGTGTGGCAGTAACACATTAAGCAAGCCTGTCTGTCTGCAGAGGGATCCTAAATTGATCCTTTTACTCTATCTTTGTACCATTTTTGTTCTTTGATGTTTAGGCACAGCATAGGGGGATGGACACAGCCAACCATACAGAGGGTTGTGGCTTTAAGAGCTTAAACACTCACCTGTATTCCGCTGTGTGTAATAAACACAGAGCACTATTGTTTACAGCAGCGGTACCCAAACTAGGGTACGCGTACCCCCTGGGGTACGCAAGAGGCTGTAGCGGGTAGGCGAGGAAGCGGGGGGAATCACGAATTCGAACAACGAGACAGTCAGCAATTTTCACAACAGCGGAGTCGATGACCTCCAAAAAAGCCGTAAAACACAAAATACAGTCGTGTTTATGTCATATGTTTTTGTGCTTATTAAATTTAAGTGTTNGCCCTCCGGGTCTCCAAGCCAGTCACATGACTGAAACCTATGAATAGGGGTGTGTGCTCTGCAATAGACTGGCATCACCTCCAGGGTGTACCCCCGCCTGGGACTGACTGAGACCTCCCATTTTCATATCATTCTCAAAAAGAAATTCTGGATAATGCCTAAGTCATGTTAACTAGCAAAGCAGCATGGTAGAAACTCAAATAATTGCAATGTCACAATAAGAGATGAAAGTTTTTATTTTGCACTCGCATTAATGGACTCACTCTGGCTGGACGTCACGTCTTAGAGCTCAGTAATATTGACAATCAGCAAAATCAAAGAGAGTGACGCTGACAGGCATTAGGCTCAGAACTGAAAGGAGGGTCACTACAGGCTGTGTGCTGGACAGAGAGTGGAGGAAGACGGCAGAAGAAAACAACAGAGGGAGGGAGGGAGTGTGTGGGAGAGTCAGAGAGAGAGGAGCTCTTGCATGCTGCCATCTGGTGGCCAGTATATATATCACTGTTTATGAACTAGCTCAGTGGTGTTTTTGCTAACTTCCTCTTGATTTGTTCTGTGACGGGTGTCTGTGTTAGTAGGAGTAAATCACATAGGTGCATACAGAGCTATTCAGGTCTGTTGTTCTTTCTCCACGCTCAGTGTGTCTTGGTCCCTGCCTTCCTGCACGGAGAAAAACACAAATAATTAAATTCTACAGATAAAAGGACAGATTCCTGCAAATCTGGCCAGGATAGAGATTCTACTCTTGAAGTGTGAGCTGCACAGCATTTACCTGCAGAACAGAGTGATTAACAGCCCTTTTCTTCTTCTTCAGGTAGATGACAGTGATGATGATATAGATGATAAGTACAAAACAACATCCCACAGGCACATGGGCTAGAAAACTCATGCGGGAGGGAATGTCGTCACCTAAAACAGAGGCGGTGAAAACGTACTGATTTTAATACGTCATCAGTCTCAGATCCTGAAATGTTCCCTTAATGTCCTCTTTCTAGTTAGACTTTTCATTGCATTAACATCCATAAAACCGTAATTTATTCCTAATCTAAAGACACAATGTCTGCACTGATGGAATGAAATACATCTTCATGACAAACTGGACAAATGTTCCATACAGACCCGAGGTTTTGTTGCAGATTGCTGGTATCTCCAGTGTGAGGTTCTGTGAGCTGACTGGGTTCTTTGCTTCACAGTAATAGGTGTATCTGTGTTCTATCTCCAGAGGGAGTGACAGGCTGGTGTTGAGGTCGGGGCTGCTGGTTTGGTTCAGTCTCTCGGTCCCTCTGTACCTGGACAGGGTGACGTCTCTCCCGTTCTCCACAGAGCACAGAACCCAGCAGCTCACATTGGCAGAAGGTCGGACTGATAAGGGACTGGATGCTGGAGATGTGAGGAGGAGAGACGCATTACATGGGTAGTGTAGTGTCATGCTCAATGTAATCAATGTGAAAGTGAATCACAAAGATGCCTCAAAGGAGCCCCGTCATGTGATCAGATCTCTCAGACGGGAAGAGCAGATCATGTGTAGATCAGTATCAGACAGACGGTCACCTTGTAAGGATGTTATGTGCGGCCTGTTCACTGGATCTGTGGGTAAACAGGAGAGCAGATTATCTACAGACCTGCTGAGAAAGCAGGCTTATGGCAATAAGAAGAATGGGTCAGAACCAAAACGAGACTAGAAGAAATAAAGATACAAAAGTCAATTGGAA